CCTAACCTACCCCCTCCTTAGTTGGGTTACCCTTCTCCTGATATTCACACTCTGACCTTCATCTGGAAAATTTTAACAAGTAATAAAAATCAGAGTTAAAAATTATTAAAGATGTAAAATATAATTAAAGGGCAAAGCTCCATTTGTTCCTAAAGTAGTGCTCCTACTAGCCATTTTATTAATAGTAAATGAACTCCAGTAAATAAGACTAACAGGTCAAACTTACCCTTTTTCTCTACAAATTGAAAGATAGGTCACGAAAGAAAAGTAGAAGTTTCGACTTGGTCATATTTCGTTTTACACGTTTCACTGAATTTCCTTTTCAGCTTCTGATGACTTGCAAGAGTGAGAATTGTAACGTTTACAGCTTAATTAACGAAAACTATGGAGCTATGCTTTGAAAAAGAACGTATTGGGTCCCAATATTTACTCTAAATTAGTCTAAACGGATAAATACAAGAAGACATGTTTTTCTAAGTTAAACCATGGTTAGAACTTAGAAGTGATATGTATGTATTATTATAATTATAATATATGACTCTGAAGGTTAAAGTATTGTTCAATCTAGTGTAAATATCGAGCATTATTTTTGAGTATTTTATTAATATAGGCAGAGAGTGCAAAAGACAATGTTGTTACTTGTTAATTATGCCCGTAATTTCACTACACTGATGTTACAGCTATGTTTATGAATATATATTGGTACTACTGAGTTTTACTAAAAAGCACTGTAATAGAGATTAGATAAAATTCAATTACCTTTTCCATAGAGAGAATTTTGCCAATGAGATATTGGCACAGCGTATAAGTTGGAAGTATTCGTAAGAAAAATGAATTGGAACTATAGATGTTGTGCGTCTTAATTAACGCTCCATTGAAGTTTGAACCGTTATTCAATATTATTTCAATGAAAATTATAAGATAAAAACAAGAGAAATTTTAATTTCCTTTTTTAATATCATGTGAGATAGGAAATATTTTTCATAATGATATTTTTTTTAAGAGATTAATAATTTTATTGATGAATATTTGAGGATATAATTCTGTTTATTCTCTTGAAATTTTTTTTCGTGATTCGAGGGCTTAAATAGTGTATTTCTTGAACATAGAATGATGCCGACTTCCTTATGATGCATTTGATGTCCATAAAAGGAAAACATCTCTTGATCACGTTGGCTTTGAGAAAGTTTGATCCCTTTGTGAATATTTCATAAATTTTTGAAATTTTCGTAATATCTAAATCTATTTGTAAATATTCAAGAGTTCATGAGATTTCGAGATCGCGTAATTCACACTTTTTCTTTTATTCTGTAACATCGTCCAAATAAAAATAAAATGTAATGAAATCTGGACTTTGACTATTTGAAACTGAAAAAGAAATTTCTCTTTAAGAGAGAAGTGAGAAAGAAAAAATTGGAAATTAAAAAGTAGGAGCGAAGAAAAGGTGTTGAGAATCTGGTCACAACTTTGCAATTTTCTCCACCGATATGAAAGATGAAAGTCACGAAAGAAAAGTAGAAGGTAGACTTGTTCTTACTTTGTTTGGCTTGCAATTTGATTCTTCATGTTTCATTGAAGTCCCTTTCAAGTTTCTGTCAACTTACAAGTTGCAAGAATCGAGAGTGAAAAAGTTGATCTAATACGGAGTCCTTTTTATTTATCTTTAGGTCCTTCAAAAAAAAATCCGTTATCATACCGTTCGATATTTGCTCTGGAACCCGATGAGTAGGATTCAAAATTACTATTTGCAACACAAATACTGTTTATTTTGGAAGAATAATACTCATATCTATTTTTAACATGACAAGGATAGGAGAAGTGCAGAATCATGAGGGAAGGAACAGAAGGGAAAGGGATAAGAAGATTCCATTGCTGTTTGAAAAGCATATCCTAGGACCTTGGTAGTACTGTCATGCATTAATTAATCCCTTTTTTAAAAATTAAGTGAGAACTATGAGATCTGAAATAAAAGTAGCACTATAGTAGTACAGGTCATTAGTCGTAAGTAAACAATAATGTCATCAGTCCATATCACTCTTCACAATCATGTGCTGTTACCTTTTTTTAACATTTTCTATACAGATTTATTTAGTATTTTGTAGCTTATAATGACCTGAACATGTTAGTTGACCTGTCGGCAAATTATTTTGGTTAGAAACGAATCGGTAAAAATCTGAAACCCGTAAGCATCTTTGCAGCATATGCAAATGTTGCAATTGTATACGCTCGGTGCCCTATCTAACCATGCATAAGCAAAATAAAACTATAATAAGTACTTATAAAACTAGTTTCGTGATTATATGCAAATGTTGATTCGTTAATTTTGAATGTTTCTTACTGTATTTTTTATTTTGCATCTCAAAAGTAAAATAATAAAAAAGAAAAAATGCAAAAGAGCGTAACATGTGATGTGGGGTTAGGTGTATGTCATAAGTTCGAACCCTATACGCTAAAGTCTGGTATTCAAGGACGTATGTAATATATACGTAATGGGTTCAATTAAATTCATAACTTTCTATACGGAGCATAAATTTATGTGCAAAATTTTAAAAAAATTATAACAAATATTAGATTTGAACCTGTATAACTTCAAAAATATAATGAGTTCAATGCTAAAAATCTTAAAGGTTGAACCCATAGAATTTAAATCCTGAATCCGCCAATGTTGATAGCCTGATATTTAAATGAATAATGAAAAAAGAATAGACTCATTATATACCGAATTTTTGGCCTTCAAATTTTATCAGTTATAAAAAAAAGTAATAAAAAACAAGAATTAAGTAAAAGGAACATGGGGTATAATGTCAGTGAAGAGAAGGGACAGGGAGGGATACTGCCATGCAAGGTAACGTGGTTTGACAGCAAAAATAGTCACTTGAAAAATAGCGTGCCTGCACGTAGATTTTCTTCAATTTCTTCACTCAACATTTGCACGTAGATTAGTTTAGCAGTAGTGTTTCCATGTTCACTGTTCCAAACCTAATTCCACGCCTTCTACACTTCCCTCACATGTCATAAAGTGTTTTGTAAGCCTTTTGGTTTCGTGGGAGAAATAGAAAATGTTCTCCTCGATCTAGAATTGTTTGTTATTGTTATATTTTTAAATTCATTTTATGGATCTAGATCACTAGGATCACTCTTGATGCGTTGGACTTATCACCATTGAACACTTTGATGAATTATCAAGAGATAAATTTCAAGCAAAATTTTATAATTAGTTTAGTTTTGATTGCCATTGGAAATAGTGTATGTTAAAGGGCTTGGCATATATCAGGTAAAATTGATAATTCGAACCGAAAAATATATATTAGGTTATCGGTATCAGAGTATTGGATCAATGATTCGATAATTATTTAGTTATTTGATTATTGGGTTATCGATTCGGGTCTCGATTTGCCCTATTATATTAACTGTTTAACCGATAACCCAACGAGCTTTATCCAAATTATAATTTTAATCTTAGGTTTATAAAGCCACCTTAGAGCTTCATTCTCTCATTCCGTCAATTCTCGTAGTCACTCTTCATCTTTAGACCTTACTCCTTAGAGTAATTAGTGCTAAACTTTTTGTATTTCTCATCTTCATTCTTCAATATAGATCTTTAGTTTTAAACCTTAAGAATTAATTGTTCAATTTATGTTTTTCTATTTGTTTCTTTTGTTATGCTAATTCTTTAGCATTTACAAAATTAGAGTTTTACCTTTTTCCTGGGAATTATGTCTGTCCGCTATTAAGATAACTAGTAAGATTAGATTGTTCAATATCTATATTTATTTATGCTATATTTAAAGTACGAAAACCCTTAGCAAAATGTAGTTCGCCTTTTTATTCTTTAAAAATATATTACGCATTAGATATATTATAATTTAATTATTTTTCTAATATTCTAGACTTAGAAAGTAACTAAAATTCTAGTCATTAATTTTTTTCTTATTTGATTTATGTAAAAACTCCTAATATTTAGGAATTAAAAATCAAATAAATTTTACATAGATAACTCCTTTACTTATTTCAACTGTGTAAAATGATTATGTAAATTTTTTTCTTATTTGAACAATATATTTCTTTCTTTGTATTTTTAATTTTATTCCAACGAACAAAGCGAGACTACTTTTACTTCACAATCAAAAAGGTTTAAAAGACAAAAATAACGCTCCATCGATATTGTAAATGCTTCAAGGTTAGAAAGACAAAAATCATACTGGGGTTGTTCAAGGAAGAGCCAGGGAAAGCAAAGCAGGACAAGGAGAAACAGAAGACAACAGTGGCTCCTCCAAAAGAAGCAGAGAAACAACAAGGAAATACTGGGGTTGGGCATGGTGTACAACAACAATATGCATAGCAACAATTCGGAGAAAAGGGAAATAGAAATGTGACTGAGCAAAGTAGTGCCATAGAGAAAGGGGGGATGGACCTCAGAACTCAAGTTATCTCAACAAGGAACACTTTTGATATTCCGAACGATCCGAAAACACAGGATCATACACAAAATGGAGATGAACAAGCCAGCACTTCTCACCTTGGGGGAGGACCGGTAGATGCTGGACCTAGACTAGTCTGGGTGGGGGTCATCCCCCTACCAATGGATAATATAGGATTTTGGAACACCAAAGGCTTAAACAAACCAAAAAAGCATAAAGAGGTTCACTTATTTCTGCACAATGCTAAAGTTGGTTTGTTTGGCCTGCTGGAGACAAAGATTAAGAGGAACAAAGCAACTGCAACTTCTCCTAATCTTTATGAGAATTGGTTGTTTGTTACTAACTTTTCCCATCACCCTGGAGGTAGAATTTAGGTACTTTGGAATCCAAGAATATATGATGTAAACATTGGAAGAGTCACTAGCAACTCATACATTGTGAAGTAAAGCATGGAGGGACAGGTAAAGAATTTTGTACAACTATGGTGTATGGTTTCAATGACCATGTATTTAGAAGATCATCGTGGAAAGAAATAGAAGATATACACAACCAGATACAATGAGCATGGGCAATCATGGGAGATTTTAACTGTATTCTCAATTCTAATGAGAGAATAGGAAGGGCAGCCATAGTGAGAGAAATGAGGGAATTCAGACAATGTATAGACCAATGTGAATTGCAGGAATTAAAATCATCGGGAGCCTTCTATACATGGAATAGCAAACAACAAGGGACCGATAGAGTGTATAGTAGGATTGACATAGTGTTGACCAATATAGACTGGCTTACTCAACTGCCGGCATCAGAGGTTCATTTTATGAATGAGGGGTTGTATGACCATTGTCCTGCAATCATAAAATGGGATAAAGGTAGTCAGAATAATACAAGATCATTCAAGTATTTTAATATATGGAAACTTGTCCCTGAGTACAAACAGAAAGTGCAGAGCAACTAGACTACATCATTACCAGGTACAAAGATGTTCCAGTTAGTTGGCAAGTTGAATAACTTGAAAAAAGCCTTAAAGCCTTGCAAGAGTTAAATAGAACAAGATTTAGCAATGTTGAAATGAGAGCAGAAGAAGCAATGAGACATCTGATGGCATGTCAAAGCAATATACAGCAGGATCCACAGAACATGGCACTGTTAGAGGAGGAACGCAAGCTAATTCATGAGTGCAAGAGGTGGAACAAGGCAAGGGAATTATATTTACAACAAAAAAGCAAAGCACAATGGCTTCAGGGAGGTGACCAAAATACAAAATACCTCCACAATTACATGAAGAGCAGAAGGAATGCAACAAGAGTGTTTAATATTAGAAATGACAAGGGAGAAACAAAAACAGAAATAGAAGAGATTGCAATAGCTTTTCTGGATTATTACAAAGAGTTGCTGGGAACAAAAGCTACACAAAGAGTTCATGTCAATAGCAATTTGGTCAGGAAAGGAGCAATAGTATCAGTGGCATAAAGAAGCATGCTGGAGGATGACTTCACATAAAAAGAGGTTAAATAAGCCTTATGGGCAATACTAGGAGATAAATCCCCAGGTCCTAATGAATATGTAAGTCAATTTTTTAAAGACAACTGGGAGATAGTAGGGAAAGATATATGTGATGCAGTGTTGGAATTTTTTGACAATGGTAAATTGTTGAAGATAATGAACAACACAACCATTACTCTCATACCTAAAAGCAACCATGCAGAGTCAGTAAGTGAATACAGACCAATAGCCTACTGCAACACAGTCTATAAGATAATTTCTAAGATGCTATGCAACAGACTCAAGGAAGTACTTCCTACAGTCATATCACATAACCAGGGTGCATTTGTGGCAAATAGAACCATTGTGCAGAATATACTTATATGCCAAGACTTAGTGAGATTGTACAATAGAAAGAATTCTACAAAAAGTTGCCTCATTAAAGTAGATATCATGAAGGATTATGACACTGTTGAGTGGGAGTTTGTTCAAGAAATGCTATATGCTCTTAATTTTCTTGAAAGATTTATAAGATAGATAATGGTTTGCATCACTTCAACACAATATACACTGGCTCTAAATGGAGGAATGTATGGGAAAATCATAGGCAAAAGAGGATTGAGACAAAGGGATCCCATATCTCCATTATTGTTTATAATATGCATGGAGTACTTCACTAGGATTATGAAGGTTGTAGCTAATCAGGAAGGATTCCACTATCATACAAAATATAAAAGCCTGCATCTCAACCACTTATGTTTTGTTGATGATGTGCTATTATTTAGCATAGGAGACTTCCATTCAGTCATATTGATGCTTAGGGGCCTGAAAAGTTTCTCTCACTCATCAGGGCTATACACTAATGTTGATAAGTCAAATATTTTCAATGCTAATATGGAGGAGTCATGCTTAGAGGACTTATGTGAATTAACAGGATACAAGAAGGGGCACTTCCATTCAGATACTTAGGAGTCACAATATTAGCAAGAAAGATATCAGCAACAGATTGTGATTTATTGGCACAAAACATAACTAGTAGAATTAGAGGATGGGGACAAGAAATTTGTCTTATGCAGGCAGGGTGCAACTTATTAACTCAGTACTCATGCATGTACACATATACTGGGCATCGATCTTCATTCTTCCAAAACTGGTGATGAAGAGAATTGCAGCAATCTGTTGGAACTTCCTTTGGAATGGTAAAGTAGAAACAAATAGAACACCTCTAGTGGCATGGGATGTGGTTACTAGACATAAAAAGAAAGGAGGATTGGGGATCAGAGACTATGTAAAATGGAATGAAACTACAATTGAAAAATATGTATAGGATATAGCAAAGAAAGAAGACAACTTGTGGGTAAAATGTGTTGATCATGTGTACCTGAAGGGGAGGGATTGGTGGGAATATAGACAGCCTCAGGACTTATGTTGGTACTGGAAAAAAATCTACATAATGAGAGATAAGTTGGAAACTGGGTATATCCAGAATGGATGGCTAACTTGCACTGCTAAATACACCAATTGGTGGGGGATATAGCTGGCTTAAAAGGAATGCACCAAGATGGTCTAAGAGTAGATGGGTGTAGAACAATATGAATATACCCAAACATAGACTCATCCGCTGGTTGGTTGTTCACAAGAAACTACAGACAAGAGAGAGGCTGAGTATAATGGGAATATGCCAAGATATTACATGCCTTTTATGCGAGAGCTTACCTGAATCAGTAGAGCACCTAATGTTTGAGTGCCAATTCTCTAAGATATACCTAACTGAAATCCTCTAGTGGTTGAAAATAAGTGTGAGAAACACAGAGATGCTAGGCTTATGGAGAAGAATCATGAGAAATGTGAAGGGAAGAGTGAATAGATCCTTTATTATGGCTGTACTAGCAGCACTTGTCTATGGAATCTGGAAGGCTAGGAATGAAGCGTTATGGCAACTAAGGGTTCCTCATCCACAGGAGATGATAAAACAGTTGAAGCAAGATTGTAAATATAGCACAATTGAAAGTGTAAATAGAGTACAATATAACAAGGCTAGAGAATAGATAAAAGAACTTTACAGATAGCAAGAATATGCATATAGGAGAAGCTTAGCTGTAGGGGCTAAATCTTCTCAGTTTTGTTTTGTTTTGAAGGCACACTGTAAGTTGGGTTCGTGGTGATCAATAAAAAAAATTATTTTCACCAAAAAAAGAAGAAGACAAAAATAAAAAATTTAATTAAAGAAGAAAACAAAAGTCGAAATCGTGTGGGAAATACCTCATTTCACATTATCTCATGGAATGTGCTTATCTTTACGTTCTACTAAATTAATTCTTTAAAAAAGAAAATCTAAGTTTAACAAAATTGTAATATTTAAACTTTTAACTAATATTTAAGAATTTAAAGTCAACTAATAATATAACTTATTAAATTTGTAAGTCAATCTAAATTCATTCTCTTGAGTTTTTCGGCTGGTATGGTATTCCAATTTTCAAGTGATTGGCTCTATACACAACATTATTAGATTGTAAATCAGAGTCTAATTAAAATAAAACGAAAAATAGAGTTCTTGATCTTTTGTTTAGGTGTTTCAACTTTTGAACATTCTTTACCCTTCTCAAAAACATCCAAAATAAATATAAGGGTGCTAGCCTCCAAACATCCTTCAGAATCTCCTTGTATTTATCCTTCAAATTTCAATAATGGGATTGCTATAGAAATATCTGTGCAGACTAAGTGGATCTAGGTGATCTATCATGTTCATGTTTAACTTTTTCTTGCATCTGCAATAATCTATATGTAACGATCTGACCAGTCATTTTGAGCATTTGCATTCTATTTGATGGTTCGAAGGCATGATTAGCTTTGTATGTTGTATTATGACTTATGTGTATCGTCGGTTTTAGTTGTCGGGTGATTCTAAATTGATTTAGAAGAATGATTATAAATTTAGAAGCTTTAAGTTGGAAGAGTTGACAAAGTTTGATTTTTGGGTATTTTATCCCGAATCGGAGTTTTGATGGTTCCATTGGGTCCGGATGGTGATTTCAGACTTGGGCGTATTCACGGATTTGCATTTGGATATTTCTAGAAGATTTTGGCGCTAATTGGCAAAAGTTGCCAATTTAAAAGTTTGAAAAGTTCATAGGTTTGATCCGAAGTTGACTTCGGGATTATCGGATTTGGATTGTGGTTTCAGGAATTGGAATAGGTTCTTTATGTCATTTTTAATTGGAAAAAGGTCCAAAAATGACCTTGTGGTATTCGAAATGGATCAATTATAACCCCCGTTTAAATTTGAATCCAAAAATGACCCTGCCGTTATAAAATGGGTCTAATAATGCTCCTGTGTTATTCAAAATGGATCAATAATGCCCTGAATTTTTTTTTTTAAAATGCTTTTAAAAACCGAAAAATATATATTCTGTAAAAATTAGCAAAAGAAAGGAATTTGCAAAATATATATTTTTAAGTCTTTTCAGTTTTTTTAAAGTATTTATTTTGTAAAAACTGGAAAAAAAATATTTTTTTAAAAAACTAGAAAAATAAAACTCTCCTAAAGCAGTGGACTACATATGCATTAGTTTTAAAAAAAATAAAAATATTTTGCAAAATCTTTTTTTTTTTTCAATTTGACGGTTCAATATTTTTTCGATTTATTTTTATAAAATAAAAAATCTACCATAATTATCGGTACAGTTATAGATTTATATAAACATATACGGTTTTATTAAAAAAAAACTAAAAATCGGTTCGGCACGGTACGATTATGTCGGTTTAGTCGGTTTTTAAATATTCATTTACAGTTATATGTCAGTGTAAATGAATATTTAAAAATCGACTAAACCGACATAATCGTTTGAAGTTTTAATAAAAACATACGGTTTTATTAAAATAAACNCATATACGGTTTTATTAAAAAAAAACTAAAAATCGGTTCGGCACGGTACGATTATGTCGGTTTAGTCAGTTTTTAAATATTCATTTACAGTTATATGTCGGTGTAAATGAATATTTAAAAATTGACTAAACCGACATAATCGTACCGTGCTGAACCGATTTTTAGGTTTTTTTTAATAAAACCGTATGTTTTTATATAAACCTATAACTGTACCAATAATTATGGTAGATTTTTTATTTTATAAAAATAAATCGAAAAAATATTGAACCGTCAAATTGAAAAAAAAAATTGCAAAATATTTTTATTTTTTTAAAACTAATGCATATGTAGTCCACTGCTTTAGGAGAGTTTTTTTTTCCAGTTTTTTTAAAAAATATTTTTTTTTCAGTTTTTATAAAACAAATACTTTAAAAAAACTGAAAAGACTTAAAAATATATATTTTGCAAATTCCTTTCTTTTTCTAGTTTTTACAGAATATATATTTTTCAGTTTTTAAAAGTATTTTTTTTAAAAAAAATTACAGGGCATTATTGATCCATTTTGAATAACACAAGGGCATTATTAGTTAGACCCATTTTATAACGGCATGGTCATTTTTGGATTCAAATTTAAACGGGGGTTATAATTGATCCATTTCGAATACCACAAGGTCATTTTTGGGCCTTTTCCCTTTTTAATTTGTGTGCAAAATTTGAGGTAATTTCGAGTTGATTTGATGTGGTTTAGCATGAGTTTTGAAAATTAAAAGTTCATTAAGTTTGATTTGAGATGTGATTTGTGGTTTTGATGTTGCATGTGTGAATTGAGGCTTCGAGTAGGTCCATGTTATGTTTTGGGACTTGTGAGTATGTTCGGACAGGGTCCCGAGAGGCACGAGCGCGTTTCGGGGTGGTTTTAGATCTTTTCGTTTCGTATTGCATTGCTGAAGAACTTTCTAGTGTTGGTGCAACCGCATATGCCGAAGTTTGGATGCAGAAGCGAGTCTGCAGATACTAACGTTTTATCACATTAAGTGAATATGTCCTGCTGGGCGAGAAGCCACATGTGCGGGGACCTGGGCGCATCTGCGCGTCCGCAGGTGCGGTCCCCTGAGGGCAGAGGTGCGACCGTAGAAGCGGATTTATTATCGCAGAAGCGACAAGTGCTGAGTTGAGGTGTTTTCGCAGAGCGAGATTGAGGGCCGCACGTGTGGTTCTGCAAAATCAGGCATTTAGTTGTAGGTGCGACTTCCCTGGGCAAACTTTTATATATATCGAGGGCTTGGTTATTTCATCACATTTTGGGATTTAGAGCTCAATTTTGGACGATATTGGAGAAGATTTTTACCACATGGATTGGGGTAAGTATTTTTTATTCGGTTTGATTATATTCTATGATTCCATCTATGATTTTAGTATTTGATTGATGATTTTAAAAGAGAATTGGGGGTTTTTGTCTAAACCTTCCTAAAGCGAACTATTGAGTTTTGAACATCGATTCAGAGTCGAATTTGAGTAAAATTAGTATGGTTGTACTCGAATTCGAATGGGTTATCGGAATTTGTGAATTTTGTCGGGTTCCGAGATACGATCCCGGTTTGACTTTTTTGTTGACTTTGAGTATTTGATTAAAACTTTGACCTTTATCGTTTGGGTTTATTTCTTTTAGCATTATTTGATATTTTGAGTTGCTTTTGGCTAGTTTTAGGCCGTTCGAAGGTCAGTTCGCGTTGGATGGCATTTCTAGAATATTGATTTGCTTGCTTGGTATTTGATTTGGCTTGTTCGAGGTAAGTAACCTATCAAAACTTAGATTTGAGGGTAAATATTCCTGAGGACTATGATGTTTGTGATGGGTTGGGGGTGACGCACTTGCTAGGTGACGGGCATGTGTGCGTGCATTGAGGTATTCATGATTCGAGTAGTTCTTAGGCTATTATGTGCCTTGTGTTGCTATCATGCTTCTTTGATATCATATTTTCTCCATTTATTCGTGCTATCTCATGCCTAGGCCACCAGTTTAATTGCTGAGACATAATAGAGCTATTTTTCCATGTTGAGCTATTTGCCTTAGCCGTAGTCATATTGTTGCAGTCATGATAGTTAATTCTACATGTTATACCTCGGCCTCTATGCATTCTTGTTATGCTATCTCACATGTTTTTGGTGTCTTTGTACGTGACACAAATTTGAGATGTCTTTAAGGCACATTGTGGTATTCTATATTATATGATTGGATTATGCTTCTGTGATATCTTGACATATGAAAACTTAAGCGGATTGATGACTGATGAGGGCCGCAAAGTCATGTTGTGAGTTATGTTGGATCAGGTTGCATGCCACAACGATTATATTGATATTGAGGTGACGCGTATGCCGGGACCCACATTGGGCTAAGTGTTACCAATTTTTGAGGCTACACGTGCATCAGGGCCCACGGTTGGGCTATGTAATTATGATTAGTGCTTGAGCAGGATCCGCCCCTCTAGAGTCTGACATGCCAGCAGTGGGCGCATGCATAGTGTTTTATATACGTGCTTCTGTGATGGACATTTATGCCAGGCACCCGTACAATGCTACGTGTTGATGTGTGTGATGGTTAGGGCCGCGTGCCAGGTACCGTGAGCGTGCTAAGTGTGGTTATTCTTGATAGTTTCATTGTGGTGATATTGAGTTGACATGAATATTTGACAAGCATGCATAGAGATGCATTTTCCTCATGTTATACAGTAATATAACATTTGATGATTTGACATGTATATTAGACATGTAAGCATAGAGATGTATATTAATCATGCTAAATGGTATATGATAATTAATGACTTGACATGTGTATTGACATGTAGGCATAGAGATATAATTTTTTTGTGCTAATTGATAAACAGAAATTCTTATTTGGCATTGTGAATTGGAAAATACAGTCCTTTTGATAAAAATATGTTTAGTTAATTTCGATGGTAAGATTTGGACTTTGACTGTCATACTTGAAAAGCATTTCTATTTTCCCGCAACTGTGATCGAGCTGAGCATAATATTTTTCTAGGTCATTTACTGTTTCCGGCATTATTATATCTCATTTTATTATCAATTATTGATGTTGGACTCCGACTATCTACGGAGCTCGTCACTACTTTCTATCTGAGATTAAGTTTGTTACTTATTGAGTACGTGGAGTCGGTTGTACTCATACTACACTTCTGTACCTCGCGTGCAGATCTCGGAGCTGATGTCGTTGTGTATGA